TTCTTTTCTTTTCTTCTCTCTTCCTTTCTTTATTTTTATTTTTACCAAAGGCAATAGGCCCGATTTATCGGACCTGTGCCCTGGTTCTAGCCTTGTTGGAATTGATTTAGTTGTAGTGTTTCTTTTTTTTGTATTGATTATTGTACTTTAACTTAATTGGCTATTGGACACACAGCAGGGACTGATCATCCCTGTCTGGGCCGTCCTCGAGAGAGGGTGTCTAGTGATAATGGCCGAAACACCCGATGATCTTGAGGTCCACTACTGATGATGTGTTCCAAAAATTCCTTTTAATTATTTCATTCTAGTTTCTTTTCTACTTTACTACATGATCTATACTTAACAATATACTTTGACTTTAATCTTATGAAAGAATTTGGACTATATTGGGACCTGTTAAAGGGCCCCTGTACTGTCCTATTCTCTAACTCCATACAATATTTTGAAATATATTCTTACCAGAGCTAAATAAAAGGAGATAAGCTCTTGAGTTACAGGAGTCGACCTTTGACTCATTGAACCATACCTTTTTCGGTCAATGGACTGATTTAGGGAGACACCATTATATTCCTACACCTAATCAGGTCATACCCTATTTATAACTCCGACACTCGCATCCACTCTCTTGACCTTAAAAGACTTAGGAAAGGGAAGCTGCAGATGACGAGCGTGGGCCCGTGCACATACCTTTGACTCTCCATTTCAACCGCCCAGTCGTTGGATGAGGCGGGGAGAGTCATCGAGAGAGCCTTCCCTTGTACCTAACCCAAACCTAACCCATTATTGTATCTTCTTGGCCGATAATTGGAACTGTTGCCCTATCCTGAACCCTTTTCAGGTGTTGTACTTCATATGGGCCCCACCCAGATAAGGTTGCTTATGGGCCTATTTTTGTGTCGTTAAGCCATTGGGCCCGGGTGTTATTCAATCCACTCCCAGGTGAAAGTCATCCATGCTGATCAGTCAGCCAAAGGGATATCCCCTTGGCTGAGTAGCCAAGGTGCATGATCAGATGGAGGTATAGTGAGAGGACCCACACTGTTACACACAGATTAAATGCCACCTTAATGGTCAGAGATACCTGTTCATAACAGAAGGGTTGCATATATGTATTTTAATATCTTACACGGTTAATGGACAGAAAGGCAGACCTTTCACTTCTTAATGTTGTTTTGGAATATGTTACTAAACCTCCTTTTTGATTATGTTTTTATTTTTATTTTTTTATTTTATATACTCTAATAATCCCAGAGGGAAATCACTTCTCTGCATTTAACCCATCCCCTTGAGGAGCGAGAGTGGCAGTCTGGAGGAGTGGGGTATCAAACTCACAATCTCAAAGCCCAATGCCCTAACCACTAGGCTGCACTCCCCTATGTAATAATAACCATGATGTGACTGTTTTCTACAACACCACACCTATTGTTTAATATTTATCATCCCTTAGTTGATAGAAAGCATGATTAAATTAATTAAATCTGTAAACTTTTATTGGTACTTAAAGAATTTGTAGTAAAAAAAAACTTTATTAGTACAACAATTAGCCCTTTAGAATCTAAGTTGAAAACCTACAATGAAAAAATTGGTGGGAGATGTTTAGCTGTGTCAGTAACACATTAATATCATACATAGAGATGTCCCAATCCAGGTTTTTGCACTTCCGATCCGATACCGATATTGTTTTTG